AATACACACTCGTTCGATAATCTCGGGAGAAGAGATAGTTTGAGATTCGAGTGTACGTGTGTTGGGTACTGTCAGCCTGCCTGTCGCTCGTTTCTACGATTCTGTGTATATAAATTGTTTGCTCACCCTGGACTGGAGACAATGAAACTAGTAAATTTGATAGTGCTGGTAGAAGCCAATCAACAGTGGATAAGTTTAGTTAACTATTGTATTTTTGATTAATAATATATTTAGAGGAGCTCGATGGCGCGGGTGGTTAACGCGTTCAGCTGCTATAGTTGAAGTTTAGCAACTTTCGCTGTGGTCGGTCATTGGATGGGTGACCAAAATCTTCTATATCGAGTTCCTCCGTGCTTCGGAAAGCACGTTAAGCCGTTGGTCCCGGTAGCATCTGCAGCCGTTAGCACCCGCCAATCCGCACTGGGCCCGCGTGGTGGGTCATGGCCCAATCTCCCTATTCCATCCATAGGGAAGGGAAGGGAAGTCGATGTAGCACATTTTAAACTCTGCCAACCGCTTATGGGATGATAGTATAAAGACGTTTTATTCTTATTATATTGTACGCACATACGTATGTTTAATATCTGTAGTAGCAGATCTGTTTCAGTTCAGTAAATAAATTGGCGTGGGCGAATTGGAGTCCATTCATTTATAATTGCGTAGACAGGAACGTTTACACACGTTCCTCAAGTAAATTTAAGATGTGATCTTATTAAGCGGACTCATGTCTTTGTCGTACTATTCACAAGTAGATTTTTTTGCCCGCGTACGTGTCCCTCCTTCCTACATTCTGGGGTCCTTTAAAAGAGGCGTGAAGAATTCTGTAGGCCGGCAAAGTGAGGATAGTTGATGTGGCAGCTTATAACTACTGCAACAGCTATCTTCGCGTCTGGACTTTACCACCACTTAACATCAGGGGGATCGAGTCATTTGCCTACATTGTAATAAAAGCCATAAAAAAAAATATAACCTACGCTTTCCTGAGATACTTTTATTACAAAGTACGTAACCGCTGCGCCCAAGCAGAGATTTCTATCCCGCAGATATTAACTTTACGTTTAAAGCAATGACATGACCCAACTTCTTTTGGCAACAGCCGCCTATAGAGCGCACTAAAGTAGTTTCTTCCACTCTCATTCATAAAGCAGATTACATCTCGCTCTTTAGCCTCCACGTGTCAGCAACTGTCACTAAATATTTTTCATTAATTTCTTTAAAACAGTCTCACCAATGACATATGTTACTCTGATAGTTCCCGTGTGGTTTTTGTTCTATTTAGAAACACACATAGGGCTTTTTTTCTGCATAGACGTAAAATATTTACACGTTGTAGCGAAGTGTAGCTGCGGCGACAGAGCGTGCCCGACTGAATGCAAGTCGGGCAATTACCTGACTTTTTTATTGCCAAATTAGAAGCGTTTAAGGCATATCTATAAATATAAAACTTTAACCCCCTTATTAATAAATGGAGAATCAGCTTGGACTAGTTACTCCATGTTTTGTCTCTGTCCATTGAATGTCAAATGGCATTTGAGTGATATAAAAAATACATGACGTAACGAGTCTGAGCTTATTCCACGTTTATTAACAATGGGTAATAGGTTTACAGACATTTATACAGTTTCATGCAGAATTCACTCACGACTAGCGGCATGTGGTGTCATGTCAAAATCAATAGTTGTAATTTTAGTTAATTACTAGCTGACCCAACAAACTTCGTACCTCCGCGCCGGTTGTATGTTTTTTTTAATACCACATTACAAAAAAAAATTGCCCAAAAAAAAGTTTAGGGGTATGTATGTAACGTAGTAGTGTTCTATCAATTTCCTGGGGAATTGATTAAACATGGGAATGTTAGGAGGACCTAACCCATATGAAAACACTACGTTACAATACCCTATAGTTAGAATTTTGGCGCGAAGGCGCATTGTAGGTTACAGAACACTACGTTACAGGTGGACAACCATTTTCACTTAAGGATATGAAAAATAGATAGTAGCCGATTCTCAGATCTACTGAATATGCATATAAAATTTCATAAAAATCGGTAAAGCTATTTCGGAGGAGTGTGGTAACTAACATTGTGACACGAGAATTTTATATATAAGACTAGCTGACCCAGCGAACTTCGTACCGCCATAAAAAAATAGGGGTTGGTGGTAGAAAGTTGAAAATTTAGGGATGTGTGTATTTTTGTATGATGTATCATAAAAAAATAAAAAATATCTAAAATTGAAAAAAAAAATTTAGGGGTGGATTACCCTTAACATTTAGGGGGATGAAAAATAGATGTTGTCCGATTCTCAGACCTACCCAATATGCACACAAAATTTCATGAGAATCGGGAAAGCCGTTTCGGAGGAGTTTAACCACAAACACCGCGACACGAGAATTTTATATATTAGATTTCCGAGGAAGGAGGTGTAGGTCTAAGCTGTCCTTCTAGCTACTTACTATAATGTGATGATATAGTTTACAATTACGAGCTGACTCTCGTCAATTAATATTTATACTTTACTTCGTCTGCGCAGAATAATCAGTTTTCCACACAATCTTTCGCCCCCTATTCCAACTCGTTTCAGTTTTATTTTCGCGTCACAGATTAGCCTAGTTTGTTCTTCTAAGGTTACCTCTATCTCGTAAATTCATCAGCGGTTTAGACGTGAAGGCCTAACAGACAGAGTTACCCACTTTTGTATTTCTAATATTATTAGCTGTGCCCCGCGGTGTTATCCGCGGTTTTTAGGGATATTTTCTCGCAGTAAAACGTAACCTATGTGTTAATCCAGGGTGTCAGCTAACTGCATACCAAATTTTATTAAAATCGCTCTAGCCGTTTAGACGTGAAGAAGTAACAAACATACACACTCACAAACTTTCGCCTTTATAATATTAGTGTGATTATCGGCGCAGACCCCTAGTACGTAGGTAGGTACATAAATAGCTAATTAGGTAATGCTATTAAACTAATAGTTCTTGTGTTCGTATCGATCGATTCTGGGTAATGATTGTCACTTGTACAAAAATAGAAATCAGGCGATTTATCTATAAAGTACCTACTATGTAAACAGTTCAAGTACTTATGTCGGTTTGTTGTCCATGACACATTATGTATAGCCAAATCTGTATTTACCTCATTGAATCATTATTTCCCAAGGCTGATTGTTGTTGCCTGTTCAAATTAATGATCGTAAAGTTTGCAAAATTCTGTTTTAAATATGTTCAAAATTTTAGTTTAGTTTTAGGGGAAAGTTGGTGTTGATTCTGGCATGATTCTCTAAACCTTAACTTTAATTTGATAAGAACGTATCCTTGACATTCTCTATACAAAATGAAAAGGAGACACTGATGTTAAATTTAGTTTTAAGTTTAGAAAATCATATCAGAATCGACACCATTATCTGCATTCATAATTCTTTAAGCTGCCTAGAGAGCTTTTAAATATGAATATTGAAAACCTTTTGTCTATAGCCATTACCATTTAACCACAAAATACCGTCTATTTTGTGATAAAACGAAACGAATAAACATACTTTAATGTTACAAACATTAAAGTATGTTTATTCGTTTCAATAGTAGGAAGTTAAAATGTATAGATTCTACAGATCTATCAAAATGATCTAGTCTCAATGTCAAATAAACTTGTCACAAAAAAGTTTTCATTACCAAAAAATTATTTTAACAGAAAGTATAAAAACCGACTCAATAAAAAAATCCCCTAAAAAGTAAGATACCTATAATACTTATCCTTTACTTAAATTGTAAGTACTGTTTCCTTAGTATGCAATACGACTGTGCAGTGCACTAGGAAAACAGATTAGTCACTAAGCAAGTAGCTTGGTTCATAGCAAAAAGCGAGTTTTTTTGTAATGCAATTTGTCTATAAAGTCATTTAGTATATATAATGCACAATAGGTTCCATTTATAATCCAGAAATATGAAACTTATAGTAGGACGTCATTAACATAACGTTTGTATCAAAGTGTAATGAGTATGGGATTGTCAATTACCTCTCGAATCCATCTTCAGTCAGGTGATCAGTCAGTTCATCAAATTAGAAAATTAATTGGATATCTAATTAAAATTCAATAACATTATCATTATCATTCTTCAATGTTAGCATAATATTGTTTTCCGTATTTCACGAGCAGACTTGAGCCATTAATTGCACAAATTAAATCGTATCAATGGGCACATGGTACATTCGGATACTTTTGTAGGAGATGGCTTGGTAACAAGCCCTTAATGGTTACAAATAACAATATTGGTTTGATCTATGATAAAAATTAATAAATCATTATCTTAGCTACATCTCCATGTTTATTTATTCATATTGATAGTAATTTATTCATGAATATTTTCGACACCTTTGCCATCTCTTGACAGCCATGTCAATAGCGTCGATACATACATTAATAATTATGATCTACTTGCTGTGCCCGCGGTGTTACCCGCGGTTTATTAGGGATATTTTCCCGCAGTAAAACGTAGCCTATGGGTTAATCCAGGGTGTTAGCTAAATCCATACCAAATTTTATTAAAATCACTCCAGCCATTTAGACGTGAAGAAGTAACAAACACACACACTCACAAACTTTCGCCTTTATAATATTAAATGTGATAAATGTGATTAAGATACCATTAACAGTAATGGAACTAAATTAATGTTTATTTGTAGCCCAAGAAATTTTTACCAGAAATAACAAAAAAACTGCTTTGTTAGCGGAAACGAGTTAGAGATGCGCTTGTGATTTTACACACAATCGCATACTAAAGATAAGAATTGTAAACTGCGTTAACGATAGAAATGTCGGAACTAGCTCGTTTTCGATATTGACTTAGCCACAGCAGGTTCTGGATTGGATTCAACAATTTGCTTTAGTTATTAAGAATGAGTAAAGTCCATTAGCAGCTCCAGTGGAAAGTCCAATGAGCCTGACCCCTATTAGTTCCCTTGCTCATAACAGTTACTACAAAACTCTGTTCTCTGTGTATTCCAGAGTGATTCGGTCAGCTACTTCTTCGACGAACTAGAACGCATAGCCCGACCGGACTACGTGCCGTCGCATCAGGACATCCTGCACTGTCGGAAAGCCACAAAAGGCATCACGGAGTGCACGATCAACATCAACACAGTGCCGTTCGTGTTTGTGGACGTGGGCGGGCAGCGGACACAAAGGCAGAAGTGGACGCAGTGCTTCGACTCTGTCACCTCCATATTGTTCCTGGTGTCGTCCTCAGAGTTCGACCAAGTCCTGTCAGAGGACAGGTGAGTAGACGCTCCGTTTGTTCCTTTATATGAACACTGTGCTTTCGCGTACAGATTGACATATGTTAAGCTCCCATCTTGAGGAGGAGCTCGATGGCGCAGGTGGTTAGCGCATTCGGCTCTGATCGTTGAAGTTAAGCAATTTTCGCAGTGGTCGGTCATTGGATGGGTGACCAAAAATTTACTATCTGGAGCTCCTCCGTGCTTCGGAAGGCACGTTAAACCGTTGGTCCCGGCTGCATCTGCAGTCGTTAGCACCCACCAATCCACACTGGGCCCGCGTGGTGGTTCATGGCCCAATCTCCCTATTCCATCCATAGGGAAGGCCTGTGCAGCAGTGGGACATTAATAGGCTAATGATGATGATGATGAAGCTCCCATCTTTGGGTTTTTTTTATATTAAATTTGTGGAAAACAAGCATATGACCCGCGTGATGGTAAGCGGCCACCATACCCTTTAGACGCTTGCGATACGAATAATATCCCTTGAGCTGTTGCCTACCCTGACCCAATTCCCTACCTCGTGGGGCCTTGGAACCTTACTCACCGACAGGAACACAACACCATCAGAAGGTAGTGTTATTTTATTGTTTTCGACGGCATAACGTTATCGCCCGCGTGTTTTTATTATCCTTGTTCTATCGCCTTGTCCAGAGTTTGCTAAACCTTGCGGGAAAACCTTTTTTTTTTTTTTTTTTTTTTGGGGAAGGTGAAAATGCATTTACGCACTTCCCACGACCGTGCCCTGCCGTGGGGGTATGTGGGACTCCACGGGGCATACTTCACGCCGCGCCGCGACTACCCACTAAAAACACCTCCTGCGGTTCCATCTTCACACGATGGGGGAAGGGTATCAGCAAGCCTTTGCCCCAGACCCCAACCGTGAAAGCGCCCTCTCGGACCCTCCTCTTTGCACTAACTCCCCTTGTGTGCATTGGCACGAACCGCGGGACGTTCTGGACTCGACTCGTTGAGGAATCTGTCCGTCTCTCTCTGGGGGCATCATCAGGCAGATTGGCCTGGATAGTATGCCCTAACTCGATGGGAAGCCATTTATAATGCGGGGCTAGTTCTTCCCTCCCGCGGGGCCACCTATGGGGCTACAGTGGCAGCAAAGTTGCGCCTTCTGCGCCCAGTTCGACGGCGTCTCATCGGGGCGGCTGAGGGGTCCACCTCTCGGGACCGCTCCTCTGTCTCCTTTTGGGCCATCACAGTCTCGCAAAATGTTTTTGCGGCGTCCCATGCATTCCTGTCGCCAACGATAGCCCTTACCACCGACGGCAGCGACAAATCGCCCCCAACTGCCCTCATCAACACCGCTCTTTGTTCACTCCAGGCGGGGCACTCAGCCAGAGTGTGCTGAGCTGAGTCATTGGCCGCACCGCACTGGTGACAGATGGTGGTTGGTTCTCTTCTCGCGATGTTGTGCAGATACCTCCCGAAACAGCCGTGTCCGCTGAGTATCTGCACCATACGATAGGAGAGCCCACCACCCCGTCTGCTTAGCCACTCTCTTAAAACAGGACGCACTGCCTCGACAACTCTCACGCCTGCCGTCGGCTCCTCCAATCTGGCCGACCACTTGTCGAGCGCCGTCTCGCTGGCGTCTTCCCTCCAGGCTCGGATTTCCTCGAGCATCGGAACACGATCCTCCGCCTTGGCCTCCGACGATTTGACGTACACGTCTGCGTACACCTCGGCCTCCAGATCCCAAGGGACTGTACCGGCAAGTACGCAGGCGGCCTCGTAGGCGATCGTGCGATAACCTCTGACCATCCTCACCGCCATGACTCTTTGCGCCTGACGTAGCAGGGCCTTGCTGCGGTTGGTGAGACAGCCACTCCAAATCGGCGCTCCATACAGCGCTACCGAACGAACGACGCCAGCAAAGAGACGTCGACATCCAACATCCGGGCCACCAAGGTTCGGCATGAGCCTACTCAAGGCCATCGTTACCCGCCGCAGTTTCGGCGCGAGCTGGACAAAATGGGGTTCAAAACTCCACCGGCTGTCGAGGACGATTCCTAAATACTTTATCGTCGACCCGATACCAATGGAGACTCCGCTCACAACTAATTCCGCCCCCGCCGTTGGCGCTCTACCCCGGCCGTAGAATAGCACTGCCTCTGATTTCTCTAAAGCCACTCTGAGGCCCAATCGCCTGATGCGTCCGACCACATGAGCCACTCCCGCCGTCGCGAGGATGGACGCGGACCTGAGGTCTCTCCCTCGCGCCGTCACCAGGGTGTCATCTGCGTAGCAGAACACGTTGACACCCTGGAGGTTCGATCCTCTTACGACCCAATCGAATCCGATGTTCCACAGGAGCGGGCCCAGTACAGAGCCCTGTGGAACACCTGCCGAAACAACGTGCTCTCCCCATCCCTCTCTGGTCGGAAAAACGACTGTACGCCCCTCCAGATACCTCATCACTGTTTCCCGTAGATAGGACGGTACTCGGTGGTGCTTCATCGCCTCGTTGATGCAGGCGTGCGGGAGAGTGTTGAAAGCGTTCGCGATATCAAGCGACACCGCCAACAACACCCTTCCCTTTGACACCTCCTCCTCGGCAAGGGCCCTCACTCGCGTAATGGCGTCGATGGTGGACCTGCCCCGCCGGAAGCCGAACTGGTTCTCACTAAGATTCGGCCCTTCTGTACCAATGTGAACGAGTATACGTTCTGCCATCACTCGCTCGAAGAGCTTGCCGGCCTCGCATAAAAGTACTATAGGCCTGTAAGCCGATGGCGAGTCTGCCGGTCGCCCGTCCTTCTTGAGAAGCACCAACTTTCCCAATTTCCACCCCTGCGGGAAACGCCTCTGCGTCAGGCACGCGGTAAGTAGGGCGCGGAAGCGGGGTTCCAGGCCATTGTCTAGGGCCATCACCCAGACTTTGCCGGGGATGCCATCCGGTCCCGGGGCTGTATTTTTCCCTCGCAGCTTATCAATGGCCGCTGTCATCTCCGCTTCAGTCACCTCCGGAACTACATCGCCTGCCTCCTCACTCTGTGACCCCGAAGTAGTGATGGGAGGCGTGATCTCCTGGTAGGGGGGGAACAGCGCTAGCATGGTTCTCCGGAGCGTCTCGGGATCCAACGTGGATGTTAGTGGTGGAGCCCATGGGCGAAGTTTTCTCATTACCAGCCGATAGGGGCGACCCCATGGATCCCGGTCCAGTGTACCAAGCAGTTCGACCCACGCCCTCTCTTTTGATGCGGCGATTTCTGCTCTTAGAGCCTTCTTGGCCTGCTGGTATTCTTCGTAGAGTCGTTGTTCCTCATCCTCGTCATTGCGCCTGTTACGCCTGCGGTATCGCGCGTGGAAGCGCCTGGCCACTCTGCAGATATCCCGAAGACGCGTCAACTCCTCAGACCACCAGTATATCTGTCTGCGCGGAGGGACAACGCGGACCCTTGGCATAGCAACGTCGCAGATATGCGTCATCGCCTCGCCAAGCCGGGTCGCTTCATGGTCAACCGCCGCAACATCCTCAGGCTCCGGGTTCCAGGACTCTACCAAGGACGCCGACACGAGCGCGTCCTTATCCAGCTGTTTGAGGGCCCACCTGGGACCGAACTCCCTAGGGGCGCGATTTAGGCCATCCGGGGCATGCGCAGAGGGAAGAACATGGTATCGGATGTACAGATGATCCGATAGCGTCTCCTCCCCCGCGACGACCTCCCAGTCTTGAACACGGCGTGCCAAGAGCGGGCTTGCGAACGAAACATCCACTATCGAGCCGCCCTGTCTCCGCACACACGTGTTGACCGTACCTCTGTTGAGACAGACCAAACCATTGACCGCCAACCACTCTTCAAGCATTTCGCCCCGCGCGTCTGTAACCCTAGCACCCCAAACAGCTGACTTGGCGTTAAAGTCGCCGGCGATTATCACCTCGTGTGGGCGGCACCAAACAAGCAGCGAGTCCAAATCTGCCAAGAGTTGTTGAAAATCAACAACAGGGCGGTTGGGCGAGAAATAGACGGACACTATTATGATATCCCCACACAACACCGCAGCGAAACCACTCCCTCTGGTTGATCTGCCGAGCGCCGGGGCTGCCATCCTCCCATTCACTACCACAGCTGCCACACCATCGTGGTCTCCGAACCAATCATCCCTATCCGGAACAACATATGGTTCGGAGACAATTAAAACTTGTGAGGACCACCGTGCCGCGGTTTGCAGGAGAATGTCCTGGGCCCTGGCGCAGTGGTTGATGTTCGCCTGTAGAAGTGAGAGGGCCATATTAATCAACGGGCTCCATCTCAACTTCTGTAGTCACCCCGTCCGTCGGGTGGCTCGGCTGCGCAGGTGCAGCTTTGCTCCTTCTAGAGACCTTATGTTTGGGGGCCGAACAGGACTTACTCCCCAAGCGGTGACTTGCCGTTTTACCGGCACCTGCACATAACGCGCAATGCGGCGCTGACTCGCAGACCGAGGCTAGGTGCCCAATCTGACCGCACCGGTAGCACATCCGGCTGCGATCAACGTCCGAGTCGCATTGGTGCCTCAAGTGACCTGTTTCAAGGCACCTGAAGCATCTCATCCCCCTAGGTTCTAGTAATTTAGCCTTCGCCACCGTAAAGCCGATAAGCAGCTTCTCTGTTGTTGCTTTCTTGGCGACTGCCACCGGGCAACTGACCCATGCCGATCCCATCGAGAAACGTCCCTGCCGAATGGTGCCAACACGGACTTGGTCTACTTGGCAGCCGCCAATCCTCGCAATAGTCTGCGCCAACTCGACAACGGTGACTGATTCGTCAAGCCCCGTCACCATAATCTCCGCGGTCTTGATCGGGCGGGATACTTTGACGGTTTCCGGGTTCAGTATCTGTCTCAGGCGGTCGGCCATAGCGTCAGCTTTCTCCTCATTGTTGTTTGTCCCGGAGATTTCCAGGACCATAGCTCCCGTTAAGGATTTCCGGAAGCGGACTCCTTCTATCCCTAGCTCGGTAACGCTGATCTTCGCCTTTGCTTCCGCTATGACCAAACCATAG